ATTCATATGATTTCCGCAATCATATGGCGATTTCTGGATGACTGCGGCGATTTCTAGATGACTGCGGCGATTTCTGGATGACTGCGATGATTTCCACATGACTTCCGACAGATTTCCCGTGACTGCGGTGATTTATGTATTGATTGCAACGATTTCTCTATTGATTGCGGCAATTTCCCTATTGATTGCGGCGATCTAATCGTACGTATGGATTGTCAGTATTATTGCAAAATTGCACGCATTCCGAAGGATTTCTACGATATTGTATGGCTTACCAGTTGGTTTCCAGTAAAAAAAGCATTAGCTAGGTGTTTCATCAGAAAAACTAAATTTTGTATAGCGCATGTATAGGTGCTAAATACAATGCATTGATTTAAAACTAAGTGTGTACGACAAATTTATCAATAAATCAACTTTTTGTACGTTTTTTATTCATTCAGAAGATCAGTTTTAATTGATGTGATACCCGAAATATAAACTTCTATGTAGGTACCTACATGCCTCCATTATTATATATCTTTGATATGCCTAAATGAACAAATAGGTACAGGTAAATAAAACAAGTTAAGTAATTAAGTAATTGGAGGTTTTTTATTTAAAAATTTCATAAAAGTTTTTTTAGACGTTTACAAATTTTATTGATGTTTGTTTCTAGTTTAAATGGACCAGATCCAATTGAATTGATGGGTCCGTAAAATATTAATTTATTTTTAACAATTTGAATGTCGTCTTTTTTTTGGCCATAAATATTCTTCAAGTTCAGATTTTAAAATTTTTATTTTACTAGTGGTTTCATCAATTATTTGAAAAATCCGACCTATGTACCACGACTCGTAAAGAATTGCGTAATATTGTTCGTTCCTAATTAAAATGCCATTGATATTTTTCTGGAGCAAAGTGTTTTCACCGGTAGTTTTTTCACTTTCTGTTACATCTTTGTCATTGTAGTTATTTGGTATTTTAGCTGTGTTTTTTGTTATTTAGTACTGCTGAGGATGTTCCTTTTACACGAGATAATCTATCAGTTGACAAGCGCCCGTCTTCAGTGGAAAATAACCAACAAAGAACTGATTTTTTTACCTTCATTTTTTTGTTGTTCACAATTATGTTTAAAAATGAGGTATCAGAATCACTTTTTGTGTAGTAATTTCGAAAATCCTTTATATTAAGATCTTCCAATCCATAAAAAATGCTCTTTTCATTATCTACATCATATATGGAAACTTAAGTTTAAAATTTAATGTTTTTTACTTTATCCGTTTTTGATTTTTCTTTAAAATTCGAAATTTACATATTTTCTTAAATATCTCGAATACGGTCCATTTTAGAGAAATTATGTATAGGGCAAAAATTATAGAGAATTATATTACAAACAACTTTTATTTGAACAATTTTTATAAAAAAATATTTTTTTTACATTTTGTCAAATTTCTCGAATACGGACCAAATTTTGTATAGAACAAATTATAGATAATAATATTGTAACTTTTATTTGAAAAAATTTCTTCTCCAAACGTAAATAACAGATATATTCCATAAAATATAAAAATGATGACTATAGTACCCTTAAAATGTTCCGACTCTGCCCAAAATCTAATCAGCTAATTGGACGCCGGAATAAAGCTTAAGTTTAAAATTTGGTGTTTTTCTTTGTATCCGTTCATGAGTTATCGAGGATACAGACACACACACAGACATCATCGCGAAAATAGTCAAAACAGATTCAGGATACCCCAAAACATAAAAAACCGTCGAAAATTCGAGGTCGAAAAAAATCATGATTCCTATACTTTCCTTATCTGTAAACAGATAGGAAAGTAAAAATACATTTAAAACCCTAATTAAAACGTGTATCACCCCAACCCCCATAAAATACCAACAATTTTGTTATACATTAAAAAAAAACTAGATGAAAAGGGACAATTTTTGACCACCTTGTAAAATTTTGTATACAAGTAGATTTAGTGTCTAAATTTATCCTAAAAAAACCTCAAATTCCAAAATGTAAATTTAACTTAATAGTTCTTGCCTCAAAATGTAAACTGCAATTTCTTTACACAAAATGGTTTAGATGGCTTAATCAAAGCTCCCTACATCAACAATGGCTAATTGGTTAATGTCACCTTACTGCGCGCGATTTTTAACGATTGCTAGTGATTGCTCAGTGACTTCTAGAGAATTCGGGGGACTGCAAGGGAATTCGGAACGACTGCGAGCGAATTCGGAACGACTGCGGCGATTTCTTAGCGATTGTCACTGATTTTGATGAGACTGCGGCGATTTTCAATGGGATTGCGGACATTTTGTACACGTATTGCGGGAGTGATTTGCCCCTCGAGAAATACTTACCTTCATCTTTTACGATATTATTTTTATATTTGTCTGATGTGAAACAATTGTAGCAAAGGAGCAGGTAATATCAATTTCCTGGAAATTTTGAGTTACAAATTGCCTGAAATAATAAAAATGTCCCTTCCATAGAAAACAATTTAGCGATTTCTCTGTTTATTGTCTTCATTTTTATTTATTCCTAAGGATTTTAAAGATAAAAAACACATTTCAACTGTCAACAAAGTAAAATAAGTTCCAAACATTTTATTTAAAACTAGAATTAAGTGCTAACGATTTTTAATATATTAGAGCGGATCAATCAAAATTTCGTTTTTTTTTTCTTCATCGTTTTGTATTTTGTCGAGTATTTATATTTATTAAATACCTAATAGATATCATAGGAAAATGTTTTACCTCAAATATTGATAAATATTTCGAAACATAACACCAACGTTAAACAAATAACTAATAAACTTTGATAAGCAAATCCAGATAATGTCACAATCTCAAACATATTAGATAAAAGTCCAAGTTAATTTTAAAAATACAAAACTGGAGACAAAATACCTGATGAAGCATTAAATGTGGTGTGATTATGAGATTTCAAAATAAACAAACGCCAAGTAGATATTTGCAATTTTCGTAATTGGTTTGAAAAAAAAAAGCAACTAAAAATACAATTTTAATTTTTTTACATAAATTATATTCCATTATGTTACATTTTTTGATGTTTTATAAATAAATACTCTTGTTGGGAACTCATAAAATGATTCGTTTTCGAGATATTCGCACATAAGGCGGATGTTATTTATTTGAATGTATGTTGAATTTCTAAAATTTTGTTTTTTTTTATATATATATATATATTAACAAGAGTACATGATTTATTTAAATAAAAATTAAAATTATAGTCCAATTAAGTTTTTGGACAGTATGTAAAATTTAGAGACGTACGCCACTGACAAAGTTTATTTAATTTTCTTTTGTGTTTATAGGTGAATCTTATGATATCAAAAAAATTACCTAAGCATGTTTAGTTTAATCGTCCTATTTTTAATCAGAAAATCTTCAGTATTTATGTCCCGTTTTTAATGAAACACGCTGTATAAAACAATAATAATTGTAATATTGAATATTTATTCTTTTGTTCAAAAATACCTATGCTTCTCTAATATTTATGTAACCAAACAAAGTTATGGTCAACCCTGGGCTGAACAGGGATTATTTGTGATTATGGTCATGGATAATTTACAACAGGCAAGTACCCAGGTAAGTACAAAGGTAAATATCTTAAATAACAACTTCAGCAGCTGAAAATAATCAAAAGGGGCTTTACCTTGAGGTGATTTAGGGATATAAAGTACCTAACATAATAATTTAATCTGAAAATCATTGTTAGGGCTGAAATATATATTTTTTTTATTTCTAAAAATGTTACAAACAAATTCCACTTATATTAAGTAAAAAAAATGTTTCATAAAAACCTAAAAATTAAGAAAATACAATATTATTCCATAATTAATATAATTACCCCAATTGAATTAATGATTAGAAGTTTCAAAACATTTATTAAAACAGAAATACTAAATGAAAAGCGATATTAAATGGGGGAATATTTACAGTTTCATAATTATTCAATTTATTTTAATAATTTTTAATTGTACTTACCTATTGCCGTCGTTTTAAAAAACTATAAATAAAAATTAACCCCTAAAATACCTATAAATTTGCGTAACTACATAACCTTATCACGAGCCTTATCATAAAGTACAAAACGATACAAAATTAGCTTTTAGAAATGCAAGAAAATCAATTTGCAAAAATGAAGTTCTTTCCCCAAATAACATGATAAATTTCCTAATAATTATTAAACGTTCTAGTTTATTTTTTATTTATCATATTTTTTTTCCAAAATAATTAAAAAGTATTTAATAATCAATTAATACAAATTGCATTAACTAGGTTTTTTTTTCTAAAATTAAGTACCTATATCTAAAATAATAATATAATAATAAAACAGACAAATATATTTAATAAAATACGTAATTAATGAGTTTTCCTCCGAGTTTTCATTGTTCCTATAGGGGTAGCGAACAAGGTATTTTCTTTGAAATGAAATAAATGTATAATTCGAGAAATTATAGGGTTACAGTTTATTTTAAATTAAATATTTTTAAAGACGTTATTATAATGCTCCTTTAAATTGTAAATTTATATCAACCATAACCCTCTACTCCATCAACTGAAATAATCTGCTATGCTACATTTAATTTTCTTAAATTTACAATATTTATTTTCAAGAGGTTATCATTTATTTATCTAGATCATGGTCTATCATGCACAAATAAGTGCATTGGGCATCTATATAAATAAAAACAATAGCGGACCCGAAACACTACCCTGTGGCACTTCTATATTATTCTTTATACACATTTTATTTATGTTTTCTATTTTACAAATAATGGCCCTAAGTGAACTCAAGCGGAGCCCTATTTTTTGGCACACTCATGCACATATTTAGTAAGCTGGAATAAAAGTTTTAAATTATTAAAATCTTGTAATCTTTTTTATTTAGAGGGCATAAATTGTTCTAAAATGGGACAATATTCTCTTTGATTATCCAGGGTCAAATAAGTTGGTAATTTTTGATAAAAATAATCTCTTCTTACCATTCAATAGTTCTGTAGCCCTTAGCGCAACAGTGCAACGCCTTGTGTTTACCAACGACAGCAAATTCCGCAAAAGTTGCTTCTTTGGTGAATCTCATATTGTTATCACTACTTTGAATGGTATTCGCGCTGCAGTCTTGATCTTTAATCCCACGGATTCCCAGAACACAAATTAGCAACACCAAACAAAAATCCAAATTAAAAATAGCCATAATTCTAGTAAATAACTGGATGGTTTAACCGAAAAAGTTAACAAACACTTTATTAAACCATTCGATACTGTATTTTTTGTTTAAACGCGACAAAAAAGTTAAATCATTGACAGCCGAAATGTTTTGTCCGCCACACTATGTTAAAACGTGTTCGGAATTCCCGTACTTGTTTACGATGAGTCAGAACACTTCACTCAATGAACGTAGAATGACAAATGCTTACCAGGTAGCGTTGAAAAACAGCGAACTCGATTTTGCTGTAAAGGAAGGTAGGATAGCACTGTTGTCACAGTTCTATGAAATTCCGTAGAAACTTAAATCAACCGCGAAGCATTTTTGTTAACATTCAGGAGCCCGCCTATAATAATTATTGGTTTGCCTGTGTGCGAAATATATTTTGGCACCTCGGCCGTCTATTTAAAATTAAAAATAAGAAACAAACAAAAAACGAACATACAAGTTTAGTTCATAAGGTTATTTTAGTACCAATATACGAAACATTAGTTATAAAGAAAACCTACATGCAGCAGTGTTTACTAAAAATATAAACAAAAATTGTAAATTGTTCCTGCTACGTTTGAAATTTGAAATGTACCTCATTGAGCAGAGTTAGTAGATTATTTGGTCACGTGACATCGAGCAAACCATATCAATGAAGCATACACGGAGAAAAAAGAACGGTATCGAGTAAAAAAAAGCAAAACGAGTTACTTTTCAAACGTAACATACTTAATAGGTGCCCTACATACCTACAGTTTAGTGAGATGAGGACTCACCAAGTTTCTGTGAAACATAGAAATAAATACAACAGCGAAGTGACTGGAAATAGAACGAATAGGGTGGGTGGGTAAAACAACGTCAATAGTTATATTATTAAATATTGTTAGGGCAAGGAAAATCATTATTAGAAATGAATTGCTGTACTTTTTATACTAAATAATTGAATGGTAAACTGTCTCTGCGACTTGGCAACAGTGTAAGACGTAAAAGTAGCATCTCTGAGCTTTGATTTGAGACAATTTGCGAAATATTTTCATTCAAAAATCATTGTGTCGTTATTATATTAATTTGCACAAGATATGGTAATAAGATTTTTTAACCGACTTCAAAAAAGGAAGGGGTTCTCAATTCGTCGATATATATTTTTTTATGTATGTTTAGCTATAATTCTTTAACACGGTGTCCGATTTAAATGATTCTTTTTTTGTTAGAAAGGGGGTACTTCAGTGGTAGTCCCATATAAATTTGGTCAAAATCTAACAATTGGGTCCATGAGAAAATCCTCAAACTCTTCATTTTTTATGTATGTTTAGCGATAATGCTTTACCACCTTGTCAGATTTATATGATTTATTTTTTATTAGAAAGAGGGTACCTGATCAGTGATCCCATATAAATTCGGTCAAAATCTAATAATTGAATCCATCAGAAAATCCTCAAACCCTTCATTTTTTATGTATGTTTAGCGATAATTCTTTACTACCTTGTCCGATTTCTATGATTCTTTTTTTTTGGTAAGGGGGTACCTCAGGGGGGGTCCCATATAAATTTGGTTAAGATGTGGTGATGGCATCTGCACGATTTTGAAGTCGTTTTTTTTTTAATTTTTAATACTTGTTTATAATAGTGATACCTATAAGTACGTATGCTTAATTTGTTCAAAAGAGAAAAGAGTTCAAACTAAACAGTGACTGTAGGTATTCACTTCTGTGTTCCAGACTTAGGGTGAGTTACCTCACCTATAACTGCATCACGCACCCGGCCTAAAAGTGTTAATAAACAGGGGGCATTTATTATAAATATTCCCTAATGAAACTAAAATATAAAAAATCTGATATTATAAATGCGTACATTACCAAAATATGACTACACATCATAATAATGAACTATGAATATAAAACTGCTAAAACAAAGCTCTTATATTATTTAGTACTTACTTTGTTTGTGTACTGCTATTTTGCAAGAATCATAAGGCGATTTTGTAAAATTCGTGACGTCGTTCCCATAACAGACCATCTTTATCATTTAATTTGTTCACTTTTCAATATACATGTATTTACACAAACGAAAATTGTAAAATTTTAAATATTTTATAGAAAAAAATCTGTCAAATGTCAAGTCTTCTTCTATACAAATGTAATTTTACCGGCCTCTTTCTTGAAGAAAGTTGGCCAATTAGCCACTGGCCTGTTTTAATCGATAATTTGGCTACCAATTTTTTAGACTAGTTACTGTTTAAGATAAAGAGCAATGAAAATTATAATTTAAATAGAAGAGATAGATCAAAAATGCCAAAAAATTATAGAAGAAAAAAATAACCTATTTTAACTTTCTGAAATTTAATAAAATAATCAAATTTCCATTCATTTCAGATAGGTTCTTTAGAAATAATTATTATATATGTATAACGAACCCAATCCAAGAACTCAAAACCACATTGACAAAAATAGAAAAAAAAATTAAATTTAGGAGAAAGAAAGTTAAAATGCATCCATTATAAAATATGGGAAGGAACTTCACCGTGCACACTCGAGACTAGCACAGTCCGACATTGGCTAATGCGTTCCCACCTTTAAGATTCAAATTTCTAAATCAGTTCTATTAAAAATGTTCTCTAAATTGTCATGGGTGTAATAGTCCATATCAACACTCACAACAGACCTTTGTGTTTCAATATCATTAATGTTTAACGGATAATGCTTTGCGATTATTTTTCTTCTGTGAAAAGGACCAGTAATAGTGTTTTTTCTTTCCAAAAGTTCTGAACCTTTGCCCATTGCTCTTCAGGGCTTAATTTCTGTTTCATGATTCGCCGTCCAATTCGTTTTTGTCAAGACTTGGATCACATAACGTTTTAATGATGGTGGGTGAGATTTTCCTCACCTGTAAGTCAAATGGTACCATCAATCATCTTTAAGTCGCCCTGGTAAATAATCGCCGTGCCTTTCTCCACACAAGCTTAGCTTTTGGGGTTAATATTCACTCGTAAGGGAGTGAATTAGGGGGAATATTATTATATGTAGCAATGAAAACGAAAATATCTAATGAATTTCACAACATTAATATTTAAAATAAATATGAGTCTTTCACAGCCTCCAGAGTTTAAATTAAATAAAACAGAATATATTTATGCAAGGTAATACATATTATTTTAGATTTAAGCGCCATGTCCAATAATAATAGCTGTCCCTTTCTCACACAAACTCAGTCAGCTTCAGAGGTTGAAATTCACTCATAAGGGGGTGAATTAGGGAGAGTAATATTATTATATTGTTAATTATAGTAATAAAATTAGAACAGGTTCATTATTTTTAATCTACAGTTGAATTTTTCATACTTCATTTTAGAACACCCTGTAAAAGTTTCTTTCAGCAGATGCTGATAATAGTAAATTGTTCTCAGATAACCTATTTTCTGATTAAAACCAATAAAAAAATAGTCAAAACTTTAACAAAATTTATTTATACACTTTTGCTTTTCGATCTCTTTATATAAAAATGGCAATATCGGCAGCTATTACCCAATTAACAATATTTTAAAAACAATATATACGTATAGATATCAAAATTAACAAAAAAAAGTATATCTCAAAAGAAGGAAAAAAACTAAAATAAAAACTCTGGTTAAGACAATGTGTAATTACTAAGCAAAGTCATATTGTCCCTTCTAAATATTAACAGATAATCTCTCTGGCATCAACTGAACACAAAAAATACAAAAAATAATCATTTAGCTAAATGTCGCTTACATCAAACATGCCAAAAAAAATTAAATGTTAATGGAGAGAAGTAAAACCCATTTCCCCACAAAAAAGATCCAACCTAAAAAATGATTACACAATTTAGTATAAAAAAAAACATTTTTTTTTTAGTTCCAACTCGTTACGACATTTAAACATAGGACATTTAGAGGTACACATTTTTTTTAAGCTGCCCCTTAATTATAATTCAAAAAAGGTTTCATCATAAGTCTTAATACTATAAGGAAACTGTACAATTCACTTCAGCCCTAGCACATTAATTTACATTAAAAATTATCACTTCAGGCGCCAGAAATAAAGATGGCAGCCGGTGATTTTGGAAATCATTAAAGAGCGTAAAATCAAACGCGAGCGGTGGTCACCATTTTGATAACTACATTCATGATAAAAATTATTTTATAAGTGTTTTACATATATGACAATTTCTTCATGAAGAAATTGATAGGTGTACAGCCAAACTTCTTCAAGATAAATAAAACAAAATGGAACCCTGACCGTACACAATGATTCTAGTGCTTGTAGGAACAAAACAACATTATTTAATATAATTCCTTAGACAGTCTTTTAGTATTTAGGTTTGTTTTTTAGATTGGTACTTTAAGGTAAGATTTTGGAAGAAATTCATAAATTTATTTGCGTGATGTTTGATTTTAGAACTATCAATTTTTTTCATTAATTAATTCATGAAGAAAATAAATGTGCAAACTATTTTTAACCAATCCGGCCCTGATATCTTACCGCATACTTTCATATACATACATTTAGAAAATTATATAATTTTTCTCAACCACTTGTCGGGTGTTTTTTGTTTTGCTAAATCTTGTTGTTTTCTTTTCGCAACTAGCGACATAATGAGCTTCTTTCGCAAGCCACTACAACTTGATGTAACTGGTTACATAAAGTATATAATTTTGACACTTGCTGCTATTACTTTTATGTCAAAATTAGAAAAAATACTTTACCCGTGTCTAAAATACATATAACGTTCATATTTAACGTTTAAAAATAGTTTCAATGCAGAAATTTATAATTTTGAAATTTTATATACAAGTACAGTAATAATAATAGAGTGGATCTTTGATCGATCAACAAAAACAATATGGCGACATTAAAAAAACGAATTAACCTAAAAAAAAAGATAATTTAATTAGTCCAATGACATATATAGATTAATAGACTGCTCATTCATATATAAACGAGACGACGAAAAGCGGGTCATATTGCTTGGCTTGCCGAGTGCTCACCAGGCAGAATCGGTCTGGCCCAAATGAGTTTAAAACACATATTTCATCAAAGTAGGAATTGAATTAAAAAAAATATATATATGTATGTTTATTTCAAGACAGGAGCTTGCGTTAGGTATTTTAAAAAAGGATTTTGAGTCGTAACGTCTAGTTTCCCAATTTTCAAAACATTTTAAGAGATCTAACCAATTTTGAACATAGATATAAACAATTTTACACTCATGTGTATATAACTAACTTTAGACCATGACTACTGTATAGTGGCACTATTCGGACACTTGATTATTCTTTTAAAATTTATTTCGCATTATAAAAGCAGATATTATGCAAAAATTGAATGAACTTTTTAAAGATTTAAAGTTAGTAGCTTTTTCACATTCTAAAGTTTGTCCCTTTAGACAATTAAGGATTATTTTGGCGGTGAATGTGAATGATTTGATGAATAATAATAAAATTCCACCAGTGGAAATCTGATCAACATCATAGTAAAATGGACTAAGTACAATCTTAGTTGACGTCAAGATCCGTGTACCTTAGCATCGGTAAGAGGGAAATAAAGATTCTGACTTACAATCACAAAAAGAACGTACAACTAAGCTTAGTCGATGTAAGTTAGCTCAGATTAGTGGTAAAAAGAAAGCGACTATTAATAAAAAGAAAAGTAATCCAGCTAAAACGAGAATTATGGCTACTGTCTTTAATAATGATATGTTGCCAGTACTAGTAGAATGTTAAGTGTTGAGTTATCTTCTTCAGGCAATGGATGTACGTATGCATAATTTAAAATGTTTGGTTAATTATTATTATTATGTTTAATGTGTTTTTGCAGTTAATGAACATATATCTACTACTGAAGCAGATAATGAAGATTTGTGTGCTGCTGAATAGCTTTGCTTAATTTACAAAACTTTGTTTAAAAGCAGAAAATTGGGATCGATTGTTCAACACAAGTGAAGAGTGGTGATTTAGTTGATCCGTTTTCAAACAGAATTGTTAGTGCTAAAGAACTATCTACTTTAATAGGATTGCAATCCTTCCAGTTATTAGCCACCATTGTGGAATTAGTAGCAGAGTTGTTTCTAAAGAATAGGAAAAAGGAGATCAGTTATGTCTGTAAAGGATCAAGTTATATTTACTTTTATGAAGTTGAAAACTGATATAATAATAATAATAATAATAATACTCTCCCTAATTCACCCCCTTACGAGTGAATTTTAACCCCAAAAGCTGAGCTTGTCCGGGGAAAGGGACGGCTATTATTATTATTTGCCGTGGCGCTCCGGGGCGACTTAAAGATGATTGATGGTGCCATTTGACTTACAGGTGAGGAAAACCCGGAAAACCTCACCCACCATCATCGAGACGGTAATGTATGGCGAATTTTTTTAATCTGTATGTCATATCAACAGAAATTAAATTTCTATTAATACGCCACACATCAAATCCTAAACCGAACCATGCGATTTAATTAAAAATCCACATGGTCTGGTCTGGGATTCGAAACCCAGCAGTCTCAGACTCATAAACTTGCCTATAAATGAATATAAGCGCGATAGACCGCTACACCACCGTGCCCGATGCAAGATATAATGTCTTATTCATTTTATTTGGAGTGAATGAAACTTTTTATCGTTAATTTTTTTAACAGTTTTTAATAAAACTGGTAGAAGTTCTTAGTATGGTATAATTCGGCCTTCAAAACAAGAAATATTAAATAATGTGCCTCTATGTATAAGAGTACTACTACTTGATTGTACCGAAATCCCAATACAGCAAGCCCAATGTCTTTGTTGTAGGCTAAAAAATTACTCTGACTACAAAAAGAGGCATACTATTAAAATATTGACTGGAGTGTCACCTACTGGTCTCATTACTTACAAAAGTGAAGCATATGGTGGTAAACTTCAGAAATAGACATTTTTTAACAAAGTTCAATACTTGAAGTGTGTGAATCATTTCTCGATAGTAAAATGTTTAACAAAGGTTTTCTTATTGGAAACATAACAGAAGCTGAAGGTATATAAATTATACAGCCTGCTTTCTTCAATAAAAAAGATCAGTTCAGCCATCAAGAGGCTTTACTTAATGCCAAAATTGCCAGAGCTAGAATTCACATAGAAAGAACCTATCAAAGAATAAAAGTGTTTGTCTCTCTGTATTGGTACTTATGGCGTTTTTCTTCTATTTATATTGAGTTTTTATTATATACGATACTTCTCTGTATCTAACTAACGTTTAAAATGTACTTGTAAAGCTCAGATAGCTCTAACTCGGGCCTTTAAATATAACAGTATTTATGTAATTGTATTTACAATAAATACTTTATTATTATTAATATTATTATTATAATTCGTAAAATTATTATAAACGTATTTACCTACTTGTATTGATACTTGCGTGAAAAATGAAATGTTACTTTTTATATTTCTGTAGCTGGTCTTACAACCCTTTATAGAGCAATTCACCATTTAAATTTAAAAACAAAACAAGTTTTTATACTCAAATACTTAAAAAACTTAAAACAGAACATAAGTATACTTAAAACTAAATAAAATAAACAACTCAACAAAATGTTCGACTGAGTAATGACAATGAGAACAAAATCTCAACTAGACTAAACTTTCTTTAAAACCGGTCCTGTGAAAGGTTTGTTTACCAGTGAGCACTCAAAATTGAGACAAAACACAAACATTGCATGCACTAGACAAAGAGAAAACATCTCCCAGTTCGACCCGCTTTTCATCGTTTTATTTACGTATGGATAAGCAGTCTATTTAAACTATATATGTCATTGAATTAGTCTCAAATCCTAGTTTTGGCTGATCGTAAAGAATTGCAAAATTTTCACATGCCATTAAGGCGATATTAGCGATTATATTGCGATTTTAGAAGCATGTTAATATTTTGGGACCAAATAATATTAATAGCAATTATTAATTTCCCTTAGTCATAAGTGATCGCAGATCTTAAATATTGAAATGAAAATTATATCAAATTTGCAGTAATCCATTAATTTAGTTTTTTGCTATTTTAACAATGTTGCCAACCCTTTATCGAGTTATAAAATTGACTAGTTACTGATTCATTTAGTACTTTAACTTACCAATAAGTATAAAAAATGTTAATTTTTCACCTGCTTACTGTCCTAGATCCTGAAAAAATCTATACAAAACGCATTTAAAATTTTACACTCCTACCCAAGGCGAATTGTATCAACCAGGTTTAAACTTAGTTTAAGACTGAAGTAGATACAATTCCACCCTAAGTAATCAACTAACAAACCAACAAAATTCCTGGCGTCCGAAGTATATACTGTGCACTAAAACCTGAAATATATAAAGTGTGTCTATGCACAAAAAATTTGCGTTCACATCTACCGTCAACTAACGGTGTTAGTCCGTTTTTTTCCCTGCTCTTTCACGCTGTCTATATCAGCCTTTTTCCCTTTGGCTTGCGCCAGCATTGTCACTAATTTTTTAGGAGAGTCCCCTACTATCCATCCGTGCTGCACTGGCCTGTCTTCATCCTCGTCCAGACCTTCTCTCAAAGGTTTTACTTCTATTAGATCGTTGGATTCATCTTCACTAGAACTTGACCAGTGATATAAGGGATTAACAGCTGCTCTCTTTCTTCTGTTAACGCTGTTATTATCCACAGAGTGATCCAGCGATTTGCTCTTTTTACTCTTCTTTTGAACTGGTTTCTTTACTTCTGGAGGTGGTTGCATTACAGCAGGTACAACCTCCGGTTCTGGTATTACAGTTTCTACTTGTTTGACAGTAACTATCCTATTTTCCAGTAATGCTTCGAATTGAGAATCATCAGAACTCCAATATTCCACCAAAACGTTCTGTTTTCCTGACGTGCATTTCCTTTGGCTTTTCCTGCTTGCAACTCCAATGCATTCTTTCAATTCCTGTTCTAAATTGATGCAGTTATCTTCTTCTTTAGCGTTCTTTCTATTCGTTTTTCTTTTATTCGTTTTGCATATACTGAATTCGTCATCTGTTGAATCGGAATTGGTTCTTACTCGTTTCTTTCCTCTTTGTTTCACTTTCTTTTTGATCTCTGGTTTCTTGGTGTCGGATTTAGATGGTTTCGTGGTTTGTTTAATTTCTTCTGGTTCACAATTAATCACTTCTTTGACTGTAGATTCTTTGATGACTTTCGTACATTCAGCTACATAGTTTTCGACTAATTCTTCATTATCTATTACAGGAATAGTTCTAATTTCTTCATCAATATCGTCGATTTTAGATTTAGCTGCGTTCTTAAAGATCCTACCCATTATCATGCACTTCTTCTTTGTAATATTCTCTTGAGCTTTCGATTTTTTGGTTGCAGACGTTACAACAATTACAGGTTCTGGTTCTGTATTATCTAAGCTTTCAGTTTCACTTTCGTTTTCTCCAACTGCTTGGCTTCTAAAAGCTCGATAATTCGGTTTAGTAAATACATCAGTATTGTCTTGAGTTTCTTCAAAATCGTACACGTCATAACCTTTATCATCTTGTTGATCTTTTGGTACGCTGGGAGAAGGAAGTTTCTTTTTGCTCACTTTGAACAACAAGTTACTACCAACTTCTTTCTTCACGGGCTTAGACTTCCTTTTAGATGTCGGTGAACATAATTTCTCTTCTTCATTATTTTTTTCTGGTACCAAGTCTGGTTTCTTCTGTTTAGGGCTGCTATTCAACACTTCTTCCATATTTAGCTCTTCAGTTGGTATGGAAACTTTGAGGCCTTCAAATACTTTTCTAGCGCCTTTGGTCATGATTTTTTTGTTGTCTAAACCGTCGCTAATTTCGTCTGTGCTGCTTCTATGCGAAGTGGGTTTTTCATTAATGAGAAATTCAGTTCTGAAACGCAGAAAATAATATTATTGTATTAAATCGTGTTGATTTTAAAAATATTATGATTTGGCAGGGTTAAAAATGATCGTGCATAATTTTTGAGCTCAAAAAATCACGCTGGCAAGACATATGCGTCCGATTTAGAAGTTATTGCCAGCACAAATGGATATTTCCTTCTCTTTAAGTAAATTCTAAAACCTGTCTGGACATATGGCATTCAGCAAAAGCAACATTAGCGTAATTCAACAATAGAACAAGATACTAAGGAACATCATAGATGCACTCTTGTACTGCTGCAATTCTAATATTCATTGAAACCTAGAAATGGAATATGTCAAAGAAAATATTACCAAGTTCATCAGATGTCATGAACAAGGACTTCTGCGAGGCAGCTCAGTTCCTAGACAACACAAACCAAGTAAAACTCAAGTGAATTAAACCGTTTAAGTTAATAGTGAAAAAACAAGGCATAGTTCATGTTAAATATTAAAAGAAATTAAATTATTAGACTTCAAGGAACACTATTGAGTAAGATCTTATTTTTAAAACTTTCAAAACAGTAATTGATCGTTTCTAATGATCAGATTGTAATAAGTAAAATAAATTGAATAATACAAAAAAAATTACCTAATGTTATTTGGTAAAATCTCAACAAATCTAGCACCGCTATCATGATCTTCGTTCTTCTTAACAGCAACGCGTTCAAAACTGAAACTGGTCGATGCACCTTCAACTTCTTCATGTTTCTCATCAACAGACCTATCCATACCCCAACTGGACGAAATCGTATTAGAATTAGAACCGTTATCATCATAGCTGTTCCCCAACGGCGTAGGAATCCTTGAATTATCGGAATAGTCATTGATAGCATTGGAATCGATTTTTTCCAAGATATCAGACTTGGTTAACCATTTAGGAGCATCAATAGATTTCAAATTCAAAGTTCTAATTTTTTTTTCATTTGGTTTTTTACTCGAATAGCTACTAGAAACCTCTGAACTACTTTTCAGCAAGCTGCAGCATTCTAAGAACAGTTCTTCGTCCCTGTTTAAAGTTTTTCTCAGCTTCTGGTCATCGTAGTTGCGGTTATTGGCGCTATCTTCGGATATTTCCTCATATTGGATCGGCTTGGCGAAACTGTTGACTGTTATAGGTGTAGAAGTGATAGGCGAACCTGGTTCTGTTAATAAATAAATACATTTTATTACCTCCAAAGTTATTTTTTACAGAAGAAATTATATAATTAACATTTATCTAAAAACTATGATCGATATCAGTTGCACTAAAACTTAATATGTATTTAATGATTCGCAAAGTGTCCTAGTGAATTCCAGAATGTTTACGTCATCAAATTTTTAATAATTAAGTAGGGTGTATTTTTAAACTTCTGTGGTAAGCAATTATACACCTCTGGTCCTACATAGATTTAAAGAATAAAATCCAAACATTGCAAAATCAAATCGAAGATGAGAAGACGACCAATAGTAAACTCATGAAAGATATTGAAGATCTAAACCTCGAAACAGAAAACACTGGATTCATAAGTGAAGTAAAACTATTAAGAGTTGAATTAGACCACTACAAAAGTAATGATGTTTCTAAAAGTAATGACATGAAAAGTGTTAAAACATATTCAGATAACAATCAGAAAAAACCTCAGCTTCTTATAGTTGGCGATCAATATTGCGCTAAAAGTTGTGGCTTACTCTTTAAGCGAGTGTTGGGAGCCAAATATGACATCAAGTTTCAGTACCGTAAGAATATGTCAGTCGAAGATATAACAAAAACTGTAAAAATATTAAGTAAACATTTTTCCATGTCTGACTGTATCGTCACTCTTATCGGAAATACTGAGAGCTTTAAATGTAAACTACCAATTGTTAATGAATTATCAAGTGTAGCGGAGTACCCTAATTTAATAATTGTAGGTCCAGCGTATGTTCATAATAGAAGCGTGCTTAATACATTTATTTATGAATTAAACTTAAATCTTCACAAAACAATACACAAACTCAACAAAAAAACATGCTCGTTTGTCCCTTCTGATAATTTTGTAAAAAAGAGTGACAAAATTCCTTTTGGTGGCATTCCTTTTCATAGCAAAAGATTGCTAGTTAAACATATATGTGATCAGTATTTGTCATATTTTCATAAACCTATTATAAGAAACGCCGACTTAAATTCGGAAAACAGCCTCGACTTCCAACATGACCATGCGCTGGATCAAACTAATGATCAAACTAACAGCCAAATAGTCAACGCACCTATTTTATCCATAAAAAATTCAATTAAATTATCATCTAATATAACTGAAAAAAAGACTCTAAAAATAGGTGCGATGAAGATGCTCAGTTAGATAGCAATAACAAAGAAAGTATGGCTGGCGGAGTTGTTGAATTAAATAATAGTCAAAATTCCCCTTTTTTAGAAACAGTCAACTCGCCAACTCAGAAAAGTCCTTAACATTTTTACTATTAAATATTCGGTCGGTCCGTATCAAGATAGATGAGTTATTTATGTTAATGGAACAGTTTCATTTTCCGCTAGTTCTTTTGCTCACAGAATACTGGCTAGAAAAAAATGAACATCTGTGCATGCCAGAGTATAATTTGGTTAGTATATTTTGCAGAGAGATGTTTGAACACGGAGGAACGGCAGTATTAATACACGACTCCCTCTTTCACAGTTTGGAGTTTAACGAAGTAAAATACCAAGATTTGGCTGAGGAGAAACAATTCGAGTTTTCGGTTATTAATATTAAAAAGTTAAATATCTTCATAATTTGTATTTACAGATCTCCAAGCACCAGTATTCCAATATTTTTGAATAAATTGGAATGCTTATTATCTAAGATACCAAGTTCATCTAAAATTATTTTGACCGGAGACTTTAACATGGATTTTCGTGTTCAAAATGATAATAATATAATAAATCTTTCTCATCTTTTATTATCTTTTAATCTAAATATGCATGTCAAAAATCCTACTCGAATCACTAATAACAGTGAAACGTTGATTGACTATTTTTGCTCCTCTTTTCTGGACAGTAATATTCTGTGTTCAGTCCATTCCATCTCGTTATCTGATCATGAGGTTGTTTTGTGCTCAACGCCTCTCGATATGAAGCTTAGGAAAATGAAATTCAGATATGGTCGTATGTTTAGCAAACCTAATTATGATAAATTTAGATTAAGCAGCCATAATTTTAATTGGCATAGCTGCATGTTGTCTGATGATCCATTTAAAGCATTTTACCATAACTTGTGCAAATTTTTTGAATCCAGTTTTCCCATTAGAAAAATTAATATAAAAAATAAAAAACCTTGGATGACCTCAGGCATAAGGTGTTCAGCAAAAAATATGCGATCCCTCCATTACATTAAAAAATATGTCCAAGATGAATTCTTTTTAATCTATTACCTCCATTACAGGAAAATATATAGGGCTGTTATTAAAAAAGCTAAGGACATATAAGGTTCTTTCGTTCGCTATTGGTGTAGTGTCCACCAGTGTAAATTACACCAGTTATACCACCTTATTTACCTTAATTTACTTCCTCCTTATTCCTTATACACATCGTCGAGTGTAATTCACTCCTGCTAAATAGCTGGTGGAGAAAATATCCACCAGTGTACACCACATCGCCGACAGGAAGGTATAGTGTGTTTTACACCGGACCAAACGAAAGGTATGGGTGTGGGTTGGTGTAGTTCATTACTACACCCAACTACACCAGTGGGACGAACGAAAGAACCTATACTATTATTCTAGAATTGAAAAATCTAATAATAAAGTTAAAGAAACTTGGAATATTATTAATGAATTGAAAAATAAACAAAATTCCAAATCCGTTAAGAACTACATCGATTCAGAAACATTTAATCAGTATTATTGCTCAATTGCTGAAAATCTGACTAATAATTTCAGATCGTCAGTTGATCCTTTAGATTATTTAAAAAATACTCATGTTAACTCCAACTTTACTCTAAGTTTTACAACATGTTTTGAAATAATGGAAATATGTTCAGATATTAAAAACAAAAATGTTGTTGGTTATGATGATATTTCTATTAGAGTTATCCTAAACCTTCCTGAATCAGCAATGTTAGTCCTTGCTAGTCTAATCAACCAAAGTTTCGTCGAATCAAATTTTCCGTCATTTCTTAAGACCAGTGTTATTGTTCCCATACATAAAGGCGGCAGTAACTACGATCCTTCGAACTTCAGGCCTATATATCTCATTCCTACAGTGGCCAAAATTATCGAAAAAGTTGTAAAAAAACGTTTGATTCATTATCTAGAAACTCACAAATTGCTGGAAACACAACAGTTTGGTTTTCAAAGGAACAAAAGTACTTCTGATGCGATATTTTCTTATCTTGAACATGCTTATTGTAGAATTAATGTTGACGATTCTGTAGCGGCGATATTCTGTGATTTAACTAAGGCGTTCGATTGCGTCAATCATACAGTACTGTTGGATAAACTTCGAGTTTACGGAATCAAAAACGGAGCGCTGAGTTAGGTAAAATCTTATCTTTCAGAACGTAAGCAAATGGTAAGAGCGTCTCAGGATTCTCAAGTTTTAGATATTAGTTGGGGTGTCCCTCAGGGTTCTGTGTTAGGTCCCATTTTATTTCTCCTTTATGTGAATGACTTAGCTCAACTTGAAATTGCAGGTACTTTCACTCTATTTGCAGATGATACTATGATTTTATGGCACAGCAATGACACTTCTGTCCTATACAACACCATATCCTGTGACATTAAGAAAATCAAAGCATGATGCGATGCCAACTATTTGTGTCTTAATATGGGAAAAACTAAAATGCTAACCCTTAAACGTTCCCTACCAAATATTCAGTTGGGGAGTTATATTATTGAATGTACTGACACAATAAAATTTCTGGGAATTAATTTAGATAATAATTTGAAATTTAGAAACCGTATAGAATTGCTAAACAGAAAACTTTCTTCTGGATGTTTTGCAGTCAGAACTGTGGCAAAAGAACTACGTTTTAAGGCAGCAAAAAGTGTGTATTACGCCCTAGTTGAGTCCCATTTGAGATATGGAATTGTATTTTGGGGAGGTTGCAGCCGCGAATTATTCAATACTGTTTTTTGTCTGGAAAAGAGAGCAATACGATTTTTATGTGGAATGAACAAGCTTGAGTCATGTCAGCCACATTTTATTAGACATGAAATTTTAACATTAACATCGTTGTTCATTCTTGAAACCATTTGTATCATACATAAAAATAAATCGAACTATGCCAATACTAACGCTCGGCTAACGCGACAAGTTGACAACCTGCGGTTGCCCATACCCAAATCTGAACTGGTAAGGGGCTCTTTCATTTATAATGGGATTAAAATGTACAATAAGTTGCCAAATGATATTAAATCGACGGAAACGGTCACAACATTTAAAATACTGCTTAGAGATATGTTGATGACAAAAGCATATTATGCTTTGACGGAATTTTATAATGACTCTTAAATCGTTGTGACTGTTTGAACGTACATGTTTTTGTATTTATATAATTTTATCGATGTTGTGTTACGTATTTGTATTTGTAATTAACCTCTAATTTTATATTTAACGTTTTTATACAATTTTTAAATTTTTATGCATGTAATTGTTAGTACTACATAATAATTATATTTATAAGTGTTTGTCTATAAGTTCTTGTAGCTTTGACAATAAACATATTATATTGATTGATTGATTACTTACCAGTTGGTATATCAGTTTTTTCGGAAGATGAAGATATATCGTCGATATAATTGTTTGCAGTTTGATTCTCGATGATGTTTTCCAGCAAACTAATCTGTTTCTCCAATATAGTCTTTGTAGGTTCGGTCATATGCGTTTCGGAGGTCAATAGACTTTCGGAATCAAAACTTTTGCGTTCGCCTAGGCTTTTGTATCGCTTGGTATCATTTTGTAGAATTATGTCTGAAAATGTGTTTGGTTCTTCGTCGATACAAGGCAGAACTGGTTTATTTAAGACGTCGCTGATGATGTCGGCCAATTTGAGGGAGTGGTTAGTGTTAAAAGGCGATTGAATGTCGTCCTTGTTTGTCAGGATATCGATTTTCAGATCGCCAGGTAAATATGGTGGTTCAATCACCGATTCCCTGCTGTTTTCATCTTCATGTTGGCTGATGATTTTCGATTTTTCAGCTTCTTTAGCTTCTAATTCGGAGAGTTTTTGAATATGAGTCAATGTGCGTCTATGTTTGATTAAATTCTCCAATTTGACGAAAGATTTATTGCAAATTTCGCAGAAATTGTCACTTTTCGAAGTAGAATCTTGGCTGATGGAAATTTGTTCTATATCTTCAATTTTTTTTGACTTCTTCGCTATTTTAACTTTGGGTTCGTCTTCATTTAACGATTCTACGTTATCAGTAAACTCGTATATTTTATCAACATCGCCTTTATTCTGGGCTAAGAGAGCGCTTTTTTCCAGCATATTTTCGAATACATTATCGAAATTATCATCGGTAACTTCTCTGGAAGAATCTTCTAAGCTGTTCAAGAAGGAATTTTGCTGCTTGGGAACAAATAGGTTATCGACTGAAGACGCTTTGAGTAAATCGAATAATTGTTCACTATTTAACTTTTTTTCAGCTTCTTTTTTCGCTTTATCCTCCTTCTTTTTGTTTCTTTTACTTTCTAAAGCATCAATAAGTGGATCGATCAAATCATTTTCGTTGTAAGAAGCAACTTTTCGTGAACCTCTCCTACTTCTTCTCAGCTCCTGATTCTCTTCGTTCGTCATCGAGTTATCCAACTGTTCTTTGGAACATTCATTCTTTGTTTCTTTATTTTCTTTGGTTATTTCGGCGTTTAGTTCTCTTTCTATACTGTTTTCTAATTCTTCTAAACCGTCTAACTCAGCTACTAAATCTTCTAGCAACGGAGCTTCGTTATTGAACACTTCTTTGGGGAAATTAAATTTTTCTGTGAGTTGAAGAAGTTTTTCGGACTTCTTCTGCTTCTTGTTCGTTTTTTTCACGCTGCTATCTTTCTGATCGTTTGCAGGATCTTTAGTTATCTCAGGATCTGTTATTTCTTTATCAGGCACTTCTTTTGGGAAATTGAACGTTTCCGTGACTTGTAGAAGTTTTTCATTCTTGTTCTGCTTCTTATTCAGCTTTTTCACGTTGCTATTCGTTATGGCATCTTCCTGATCCGTAGTAGGATCTTTAATTGTCTCAGGATTTGTCAGTTGGTTAATATCGAACGCTTCTTTGGAAAAATTTAAAGTTTCGGTGAGTTGTAGAAGTTTTTCAGCCTTCTTTTGCTTCTTGTTGGGCTTTTTCACGTTGCTATTCATTGTGGAATCTTTAGTAGGATCTGTAGTTGTCTCAGGATCAATTAGTTCGTTATTTAACACTTCTTTGGGGAGCTTAAACGTTTCGGTGATCTGTAGAAGTTTGTCGGTCTTCTTTTGCTTCTTATTTGATTTGTTTACACTGCTATTTATGGTGGCGTCTTTCTGATCCTTGGCAAAATCTTGAATTGTCTCAAGATCTAATAATTCTCTATTATCGAACATTTCTTTGGGGAAATTGAATGTGTCAGTAACTTCTAGAAGTTTTTCATTCTTGTTTTGCTTCTTGTCCGGTTTTTTCTCGCTGTTATTCAAGGAGACATCCTCCTGAACATTAACAGAATCTGTTAATTCATTATTATCAAATACTTCTTTAGAGAAATTTAACGTTTCTTTAAGTTGTAGGCTTTCGTTTTTCTTTTGCTTCTTGTTCGTTTTTTTGACGCTGCTGTTTATAAATACGTCGTTCTGATCCTTGGTAGGATCTTTAATTGTCTCCTCAGGATCTGCCAGTTCGTTATTTAACAATTCTTCTGGAAAATTGAAGGTGTCGGTGAGTTGTAGAAGTTTTTCGTTTTTCTTTTGCTTCTTGTTTGTTTTTTTCACATTGGTATTCATTGTGGTGTCTTTTTGATCCTTGGTAGGGTCTTTGATTGTATCAGGATCTATTAGTTCGTCATCAAACACTTCTTTGAGGAAATTGGACGTTTCAGACAATTGTAGAAACTTTTCATTCTTCTTTAGCCCTTTGTTTGGATTTTTCAGGCCGGTATTCGTTATGGCATCTTTCTGATCGTTAGCAGGATCTTTAACTATCTCCAAGTCTGTTAGTTTGTTATTATCAAACACTTCTTTCGGAAAGTTTAATGTTTCTGTAACTTGCAGAAGTATCTCGGCCTTCTTTTGCTTCTTGTTCGGTTTTTTCACGCTGCTATTCATTATGGCGTCTTTCTGATCCTCAACAGGATCTTGAATTATCTCAGGATGTGTTAGGTCATCATCGAACACTTCTTTATGGAAATTGAAGGTCTCGGTAACTTGTAGAAGTTTTTCATTCTTCTTTTGCTTTTTGTTTGGCTTTTTCACGCTGCTATTCGTAGATGTATCTTTCTGATCCTTAGCAGGATCTTTAATTGTCTCAGGATCTATTAATTCACCTCTATTAAACACTTCTTTTGAGAAATTGAACATTTCGGTGATTTGTAGAGGTTTTTCGATTTTCTTTTGTTTCTTGTTCAGCTTTTTGACGCCAACATCCAAAGTAGCGACTTTCTGATCATTCGCAGAATCTTTAATTGTTTCAGGATCTGTTATTTCGCTATTTGTAAATAAGTTTGCAGAGAATTCGAAATTATTAATGTTCTTTTCCAATTTCTTGCCCTTTTTGTTGCATTTTATGTCAATATCGTTAATAATTTTAATTTCTTTAGCAGATTTTTTATCTTGACACATCCCATCTGTTAATTCTGCCAAGGCTTCATCGTGTATGTTTTCTAAGGCTTTTATTTTGGCGTTTCTTAAACTTTTACGCCCATCGAATTCCGTGAGAATATTTGAAGTGTTATTTATTTCGTGTTCAGATAACTCTTCAGAAGGTTTTGTTTCTGACGTTCTATCTTCACTGAAGACACCGCTAAAATTTAAATCAACGGTTTCTGTCGTACTAATCTTAGATTTTCTTCTGGGTTGCTTTTTATTAAGTACTGATTTTTCTTTAAAATCGTTTTGCTTCTCTAAGTTATCGTTTTTTCTAGGTAACCTCTTAGGCAATTCTATCGGCTTTTCTAATTCCAAATCTTCTGTCTCTGAGAAAGCGTACAGTTTATCAATATCGTCTTTTGCTAATTCATCGGTTTTTGAGTACCACGATTTTTTACTGTAAAAGGTTGATTCTTCTTCAAAGTTTGCCGATAGTTTTTCTTCAATTTGCGATATTTCTTTACTGAGTGCTTCTATAATGTCCGAATTTTTATTTAGGTCTTCCAAATTTTCATTTTTAGATTTGGGTTTCCTCTTATCGCCTTTTCTCTTGCTCTTCTTGGTCGATTTGATCAGCGGTTTTAAAAAATCTTCTTCTTCTACGACTTCGAATGAAGCATCTGCAGCACTCAAATTGTCTGTTAAATCATCTTGAGGTGTTTTAATTAGAGCATCATCGATTTCTAGTTCAGATTCGGAGGTATCATCTTCAGTCGTTTCAAAATGATTTTTCGATTTCTTCCCACTTTTTTTCCTGAATATCTTCGTTTTCTTTAGTATTAACGGTTTCACGAATTCCGTATTTTCAATGAGCTTATTGAACAACGTTTCTGCATCAACTGAAGGTTGTTTTGGCGTGTTATTTTCCAAGGAAATTATGGAATCTTCGAATGAGTTGTCGATCTCGAAATCGTCACTAGAAAAGTCGTCTTTATCCAACATGAAGTTAGTTATTTGGTTATTGGATACAATCGGTGTATTGCCGTTAATGATTTCTGAAAAGTAGTTGTCATTGGATTTTAAATTCAATTTCAAAATAGGTATTTCTTCGGGTTGTCCTAAATCTTCTACTACTTTCGTTGCTGCAATAGATTTCTTTCTATTAACTCTAGATTTGCCTTTTTTTCTTTTTACTACTGCTTTGGGTGTAACAATTTCCTTATCGTTCGATTCATTTTCCACATTAATCGGTATTATTAGCGGCAAATCCAACTTAGGAGTTTCAATTATGTTCGTTTTTATAGGAATTTCATCTAATTCCATGTCCATCTCTTCTACAGATTCGTCCAAATCTTTCTCTAGTTCCGGCAATGGTTTCGGAATATTGTTGACCTCCATTGGATAAGTATCTTCTTTAGAAAAAGTATCTGGTGGTGAAAAAGTAATAAAAGGAGCTCTTCGTTTCTTTTTGATCACCAGAGCAAAATCTTCGTATAAATCGTTATGTCCTTTGAGACCCACTTTTTTGATGCTCTTAGATTTTCTTCTGGCTATATGTTTGTTGATTATAATTTTAATTGGTGGTTCCTTTTCGGCGGTTATTTCTTCAGGCATCTCGGTTTCGATGTTGGTCGCTGTAAGAACATTTTCTGATATGACAGTCGGAAGTTCGATACTAGCAACTTCCGGTATTGGTATATCTGTTTTTCGGTTTCTAATCAATCGTTTTTTGCCTTTTCTAGGTCTTAATTTGGCTCGTTTTTTGTTTACAGGTGTATTCGTTTCGAGCAAAGTATTTTTGGTTAGATTTTCTTTCAAAACGTAGGTATCTTCTTTGTTTTTTAGATCAATTTCTTCTATTTTTTCATCAACTATCGTTTCATCTATGGATTCATTAATCGTTTCATTCCCAGTATCATCAAGTATAGCAGTATTGTTTATTTCTTCAGTTTCTTCAGTATTTGATGGTTTTACATCATCCTTGTCATCTGAAGTAATAAGATCATCAGTTACTTCTTTTGATTCTTCAATTTCTGCGTAGTTTATAGCAGATTTCCTTCTTAAAGATCTGCTAGTAGACATTTCAATTTCCGTAGATGCATGGTTGATTTTTGATACATCAGCAATTTCAACCACTTTTTTATTACTCAAATTAGTTTTTCTATTTCTTTTAGGTTTTTTGATAGTCTGTTGGTCAATGCTATCTTCTTTTAGCTCAGAATCATCAATAACATCAATCGGTTGTTGACTTAAATCTTCTTTATCTTCATTTTGTTTCAAAGAAGATTCGCTTGGAATAATATCTCTTTCTTCAGTATCTGACATTGATATTAAGCTTTGTCTAATAGCATTCCTTATTTTTTCTTCTAACAATTTAACATCAGATCCTTCTGATGACGTATTTTCTTCGCCATCTTTGATTTGATCATTTTTACTGTCATTAGCTGAAAATATTTCTTCACATCTGATATTCTCTTCAACAGTAGTTATTTCTTCTGCATAAACACTATTTTGACTTGGTACATCAATGTCGCAAGGATTTAACATCTTTTCTTCTTTGCTATTATCTTCTTTTTGAATCGCTAAATTTTTTGTAGACCTTCTTAAAGGTCTTGCCGCTTTTTGACTCAAAAAATCGTCTGCTGGCTCAGCAGGATTAGCGTTTTCTGAATTATTCAAAGATTCTTCAGTACGAGAGGAAACTGAAGTTGCTGCAGGTTTTTTCGACTTCTTGTTTGTCCTCTTAGTTTTCTGAGGTGAACTATCTGAAACAACTATATCAGAATTTCCAGATTTAATTATAGATTCCTCAGAATAGGACAAAACCGAGCTTTTAGAATTCCTTCCGGTTCTTTTGGCTTTTGGAGGTAAAGTTTCCGATTCATTTGACATATCCATAGATGTAGCCATCAACGATTCCTCAGAATGATAAGAAGTTAAGCTTTTTAAGTTCCTGCTGACTCTTTGGTATTTCTGAGGAGAGCCTTCCGATTCGCTTAGATTCGTAATAGGTGACATGTCAGCTGGAGTAACATTTTCGGAATTGGTCATGCTTAAAGACTCCTCAGATCGAAATAAAATCGAGTTTCCGATCATATTTTTCGATCTTCTACTGGCTCTTTTGAACTTATATGGTGAACCTTCCGATTGGCTTGAATTCATAAAGGTTGACGTATTAGAGATTTTTTGATCTGGTGTTATAAATTCTGAGAATTCCATTATTTTACTGACTTCTGCATCAAGGGAATCATTCAATTTCATTAAAGATTCATTAGATGATATCAGATTAGTTGAAGATCTAGTTTTTCGTAAACCTAAACCACCATTATCGTATTTAATTGGGCTGGAAAATTCATCTTGAACTTCAACATCATTTTTAGTTGTCTTCTTTTTGTTGTTTCTTTTCTGTACGTGTCTAAGTTCATTTTCAAATGCGCTTTCTTCGTCCAATTGAACTTCTATTGATTCTTCGTTTCTTGCAGTATCTTTTTTTGGAAACTGATCTTCAAGCGGTTTCTTTTTAGAGCATTTCTTTACGTGTCTAGTTTCATCTTTAAATAAGTTCCCTTCTTCTTGCTCTGCTGGTTCTTCTGTCTCTGTAACAAGGTTATCTTCTTTATTGGTTTTGTTTCTGGTGCTTCCTCCAGATATTCTTGGTACTTCAATGATTTCATCTTCAAATTTGTTATCTTCTTCGACAGGAGCATCTACTACGCTTTTCACTTCTTGAATACTTTTGCTATTAGATAATTTATTTTTATCAGATGTCTTCAATACATGTCTAATTTCATCTTCCTGGACGAGACTGTCTTCTTCTACACTTTTTACTTCTTCTTGCATAATTTGGCTTTTAGATGATTTCTTTTTATCAGATTTCTTCAATACTTTACTAATTTCTTCTTCAAATTTGTTATCTTCATCGACAAGAGTGTCTTCTACGCTTTTTATTTCTTCTTGGATAATTTGGCTTTTATATGATTTCTTTTTATCAGAATTCTTCAATACGTGACTAATTTCATCTTCAAATTTGTTATCTTCATCGACAAGAGTGTCTTCTTCTACACTTTTTACTTGTTCTTGCATTATTTGGCTTTTAGATGATTTCTTTTTATAAGATTTCTTCAATACGTGACTAATTTCATCTTCAAAATTGTTTTCTTCATCGACAAGAGTGTCTTTTATGTTTTTTACTTCTTCTTGCATAATTTGGCTTTTAGAAGATTTCTTTTTATCAGATTTCTTCAATATGTGTCTAATTTCATCTTCAAATACACTTTCTTTCTGTATTTCTCCCTCTTCTTGTCCAATCTTCTTTTTAACACATTGCTCTGTGCTTTTAGCTACTTGTCTTAATTCATCTTCGAATACGCTATCTTCTTCTTGCTCTTGGTTAGTCAAAATACTCTCTTGAACAATTTGTTTTTTGGTTAATTTCTTTTTAAGACTTCTTTTTGGCATGTCCCTAATTTCGTCTTCAAATATGCTTTCTTCATCTAGTTTATCGACTATATTTACTTTCGTAGCTCTTAATTTTCTTTTAGTAGTTAATTTTTGGTCTGCAACGTCTTCAGTTTTTGAAATTTCTAGAGATTGATCCGCTGCTGGTTCTAATTGGCAGTCTATTGAAATTGAAACGTTTGATGTAACATCAGAGTTTTGTAAAGAATTCGATTTTCTTATGGCTTCTTTGATTTTATATTCTAAACTGTCTTCTAGAGGTGGAGTATTAATAATTTTTGATGTGTCTTTTGAACTACAAGTGTTCAAATTTTCAAGAGAAGCAGATTTCGTGAGTTTTTTAGCGGGTTTTGTTTTTCTTTTAAATTTCGATTTGGATTCTTCAGTTAGACCTAGAGATACTGCAGATTTTGGTCTATCTTTAATTTCTTCTACTGTAGTTTCAATTTTTAACGATTTTTTTAATGATTTTGATCGTTTTGGCCTTCCGCTCAATTCTTCAGATATTTCTGTCGAATTTGAAACTTCTTCAGCACTACAGAAAGGTAGTTCTTCATTAGAGTTGTTTAAATTCTCGATTGCTGACATTCTACCTCTTCTTCTTGTAGGAATTTTGGTTATATCGTCAGAAACTGAATTATCTATCGATTCCGGAATGCAATCTTCATTTAATTCCAATGTATCAGCAATTTCTGCAGACTCTATACAGATCAGATCTTTTGCCAAAGGCGTATCTACTGTAGCGATGTCATGGATGCTTTTAGCATCATTTTGTTCTTCAAACAAATTTGTATACTTTGAAGATTTCGATAATTTTTTATTTCGAGTTTTGGCTGTCATCACCGCTTTTTCTGAATCTTTCAGGGTTTCTTTGACATTCTCGGATGGTTTTTTAGTTTTTTTCAATCGACTTTTCGGTCTAGTAAAATGTACACCTTCGATTTCTTCTTCTACTATTTTGGTTAAATTTTCTAAAGATCTAGTAGTTCGGGTACGCTTTACTTGTTGTTCTGCTTTAAAACAAGAGGTTTGTGTAAAATCGGCGAAAGGCTTATCTTGATCATTTAATGCATTCAAGTCTTCCAAAGACCTTGTTGTTCTGCTCGAATGATTGTTTTGGATATCTATTGCCGTATTCATAGTTAAACTATCCAAACTTGATGTCGTTAATGCTTTATCAGATATCGTTTCTGGTACATTATCATTTCTGGCTTCTAAATTGTCTTTTATAGAATTATTTTCTTCGCATGACAGTTTTTTTAATTTGGATTTTCTAATCGGCATTTTTCGCTTTTCTTCGGTTCTTTCTTCATTCAAATGATCAACTTTTGATTCGGAATCTGTCGATAAAGCTTTACTAGAACTAGGAAATTCAATTTTCGATAAATTCGTAGTTTCTTCATTGCTTTCTTCGACTGTACTTTCTAAATTTACGTTTACTGTTTCTTCTTTGTTTATAATTATTTTGTTGTTAGTAATTTTATTCGATTTAGGAGGTCGACCCCTTTTCAACTTCTTTGCAACCTTCTTTGGTCTTACATTATTCACTTTTACGACATTTTTTATTTCTGGTATATTTGATGATTTGCTAGCATCAGTTTGTTGGATATTTTCTTTAGCTGTATCGTCTGCAACAATTTCTTTCTCTACACCATCAGTTCTTTCCTGATTCTCAACAGGAATCATTGTAATTTTATCAGTAACATCTGTAGCAATCACTGTCACTGTCAAATCTTCAACTGGTTGTTTTTCCATAGGGATAATTTCTGAAATAGTTGTATTGGATTCAGTTTCACCACCGATTCCAGTCAAAGGAAGAAATTTGAATGTTCTCTTTTTGAGCATTGTGAATCTTTTTGCTTTAGAGCCTTTCTTTTTGGGTTTAATGCCTATCGGTCTTTTAAATTTCGTATCAGGTTCGTTTGATGCAGTCTGTGAAGTTGAATTTAACTCGTACGTTGGAATAATTGACTCGATGTCTACAGCTTTGGTTTCTTCCTTTGGAAAATCCCTTTTTAGTATACTGGTTATTGAGAGTACAGCTGGTTTTATAATATTACTGATCGATTTAGTTTTGATTGGTTGAGGAGATTTTTTAGGACTCCTATTATTTTCCTTCGGTTCTACTGTTTCAAAATTGTCTTCATTTGATTTATCTTCAACTGCTACTACTGTTGCGTCTTCTGATGGTATTTGAACAGCTTCATCTGTAATTTGTCCTTCCAATGGTAGGGTATCGTCAGACAATGAATCGTTTTTGGCTTCAATGTTAGTTTCAACTTCAATTCCGTCATAATTGACGTTATTGCCGGATTTTCTCGTCTTCTTTTTCGTAAATCTCAATTTCTTTGTTGCCTTCTTCTTTCGCTTAGTCTTGAACGAAATAATCAAACTTGGGTTTGTATCCACTGAAATGACGTCCAATGTGGCTTGGTCAGTTTCTTCGTTATTCGATTGATGAAGTTCTTTGTTTGTTTCGTCAATAACTTGTTCCGTTATTGATGGTTTTTCTTGATGTGGCATTTTAGACTTATTAGTGACTTTCTTTTTCATCTTTCGAGCTTTTTTCTTTGCTTTAATCGTTAAGTTTTTAGGAACTAAATTATTTACATTAACATCATCGATATCTTTTGTTTCCATTCGAGTTTCTTCAACGAAACTATTTGAATTATCTGATTTTTCGTTCTTTTCTTCAACAGTTTCAATTTTTGAACCTTTATTCTGTTTTCTAAAGTTTCTAAGGTTCTGATTTGATTTATTTTCAACCTTTGGCGGTTCTTTATTTACAATTTCTTCTTTTGTAATGAAGAGGTTCAGTTCGACAGGTTTGACTAGAATTGGCAGGGAAATAACAGTCTTATTTTCCATAACATTAGGTTCGTCCTCAATGTTTAAGGGAATCTTATCAGATTTTTCTTCATTAATTGGCACTTTATTCTCGATTTCTTTTATGTCTAATACTTGATCTATATGGGTTTCTGTTAAAACCGTTTTGGGTTGTTCTACTTCAATTTTCTTCTTAGATTTTCTGAGCTGACCGATTTTTCTCGCTACTTTCATTACTTTCTCTTTGGTCGAACTTATTCGAGTTTCTATTGGTTCGTCATCAGATTTAATTGCCTTTTCTGGCATGAATTCTTCTTTTTCCGAAATAGCATCAACTATTTCGTTAGTTCCTTTCGCAGTCTCTTCGATTTTATTAATTTTCCTGACGGATCCGATCTTTCTGCCTCTTTCTTTGGTCTTCAGAAGCAGCGGCAACTTCAAATCTTCCACAAGAGCCTTTACGGGTGTGCTTGAACTATTATTTCCGATTGGAGATTCCAAATTACTAACGTAATCGATGATATCATCAACGGTTGTTCGAATCCGCGATGTCGTTTGTTGTTTCAAATGTCCGTCAATGACCTTCTGTATGGTTTTGTCTATGGAGTTCAAATTTGGTGGTAGGAACTTCTGCGGTTCTTGGAACTTGTTACTAACAACGTTTTCTATAATTTTTTCTACCGAAGTTAAACGAGTGAAGTCCCAAAGCGATTCCTTATCGAACACTGTATGTTTCATCGACGGTACTAATTCTTCAGGTTCTTTATTTCTGGACTTAGTACTTAAATCCAAAGCGACGTCTTCCACTGTTTCGTTTTGGGTTTTAAAAGTGGGTATCTTTAGAATGCATTCGGCTGTTTGTGGACTTGGATCAGTGACTATTTTTGGTTGTTGAGTCGACCCCAGTACATTTGAACTACTGGGTTTCGGTAACGGTTCGGTTTTCTGCTGCAATTTCGACGTCAGCATGGCTATGCAATCGTTCAAACCTCTGGCAGGTTTGCGAATTTTACCCTTCACGTTAGGCGAGATCATTGGAACTGATTTAGCTTTAAAACAAGTTTCTATAGAGATTGGTTCCAATTTTCCTTCGCTGAAATATTGTTCAGCATCTTTATCATCTTCTGTTTTAATTATTTCAGTTGTAGTATCGAAATTGGGTTCGCCTTTGGCTTGCAAGTTTTTCTCTTCATTGGCGTCCAATTTGAAAATATTCTCTGGAACTGGAGAGTCTTCGTTACTGTCATTAAACGCTATCACAGTACGGGCAGTTTCTGATATGTCAGCTATGTTTTCTTTTGCTTCTATGTTGGATGGGATTACTATTTTCGCGGGAAGTTCTTTTTCTTGTGTTCTTTCGTCTAAAAAATGACTGGTCGCTGCTGTTTGGGGTTTTTCTTTGACGGGAGTTTGTACTGCATCAAGATTGGTTGGTGTCGTGTCAATTTTCAGTCTCTTCACCCTATTTATGACGTTTCTGAAGCTCTGTTTTAATTTGCGCTTGCGCCTGGTTAACTCCAACTCTTCATTGGAAGCGGTTTTTTTAACAGATTCGACCGAATCTTCAGCTGGTGAATCTTGAGTTGCTTTTTTCATGATTTTCTTCTTGTTCATGCTTAGAGATCTAACAAGAGTACTCAGTTTACCATCTTTTTCAATTGTAGGCTCAATTGTATCTTCTGTTTCATTAGGCTTCTTTTTGCTCCTGGTCTTAGCATCTTTCGGTTCTTCTTCGTTGATTACTTCTTTTTTAACTTTTCGTTTTTTAACAGGAAAGAATGACTTAATGTTCGCGTTGCCAGTGAATAGTTTCAACGTTCTCACGATCTTTGTGCTTCTCGGCGATGTCCTTTTTGGCGTTACATCTTTTGAAGCGTCGATTTTTAATTTTCTTGTATCTTTAGATGGTTGACTAGCATCTTCGTCTTTTTCCGCAACAATAGACTGTCTTGTTCGTCGCCTCTCGTTTAACACTTTCAGCTTTCTTTTTACTGTCAGTTTGGTGCTGGTGTCGAGTATTCGGCTGGATAGTACTCTACCGAGGCTGCGTAAAGCTCTGACGTTGGAAGATTTATTCTTTAGTTGCGATTTTTTACGCGGTACAACTGTGTTTATAGTTTTTTCTGTAGTTTCTTTAATGTTACTGCTTCTATCGTATATAACTTTGCCACATTTCACTTTTTTCTGCTTGACGTTTTCTAGTTCTTTCGATTTTTGTTTCCGTCTAACTCCATCATACAGAGAGATGAGTTTCCGGGTTGATCTTTTGGCTGGCAAATCAGCTAGCATTCTTTGAATGGTTTCGGCTGTAAAAATAATAAAAAAACTGTAACAATGAGGTAAAATTATCGGATTTGAAGGCTTACCATCACTAGGTCGTTGTCTAGGACCGTTGTAAGTATATTTTTTCTTTTCAGTTGAATCAGTCTTTCGCTTGGTGTGGTGAACTTTTAGGACCATGCCTGTAGTAAAAAATGAAATATTTTGCAAATGAACGTACTAAAATATGTACGAAAAAAAATCCTCTATTAAATTTGTATGAAATTTTGGAAAAATTACTTATTACAATTAGAATATTTTTAAGGAACGTAAATCAATAATGAAAACTTGTATTTTTGCAAAATAAAAATTATTTAAATAAAAGAATTTTGTGCGAAATAAAAGTCGAATCAATCTAATATGCGGGCTAGTTTTTAGGTATGTTTTGTTGCATGTAAAATGAAAATAAAGTTCATCTTAGAATTATGAAATCATCCTTTTATTAAAAAGCTACTATATCTGATTTTTTTTTCAGAAAACACACATACCTCTCCGTTTTCTTCTGGACTTAGCACCGTATCTGTATTTACACTTTTTCCTAACCAACACCCAAGTCCAATCGCCACCGCACTCTAAAATGTGTCTATGCAATTCGCCCAAAGTGTTACACTGTTTTTTACACTTTGAGCACATCCGAGCTTCGCTGCGCCTCCACATTTTGCAAGCTGCATTGTCCTCGACGAAACCTACTTTGCCTAGAGCCGGTATGCTCAAATGACGGTATAGCTCGCTCTGGTTGCCCACGAACTCGTAGTGTTGCACCCAAACGTTCTGGTGGTAGATGGTCTTGTGTTCTAGAAGGTATTTCATGTTGGGAAGTTTTGCGCCGCAAGCAGCGCAGATGTACAATCGGCAACGGGCCCATTCACCTGATAATACAAAATGAAGACATTCGAACTAAGGTGAAAACGTACCCGTATTACAGAAATCACCAAAAATTCGAATGATTTCAACGATTCCCCGAAATCTTCTATACATTTTTAAGATTTCGGCTCTATATGATTTCTCCGAAACATTACTGTATTATTTAGGAAAAAAATTTTTTTTCTTGTTCATTCAATTCACCTCCTCGAAAAATTTACAACTTATGTTGATTTTTGCACGCAAAAGTATTGATTTTGAAATTTCGGTAGCGATTTCTGAATGTTCGCGAAAATTTCTAAGCAATTTTGGGTGATTTCGAGTAAAAATGTTCCAGTATTTCGGGAATGGTTTGGCCCTTTCTACATACCTGACATTTCAATGAGTTCGTTTTTGCCTCTTGCCGCATTGGTGGGAAGTTCGAAATTTTCAGTATCTTGAGACGAACAGATCAACGTTATTTTATCCGATTGATCTATTTCATCGTCGGTATGAAGAGACGAAGATCGACGAAGATTTAAAAAGCTGGGAATTTCCCTGAGATCTGGTTTAGACAAAGCCTGCAAGACACACATTCGTTTCTATTTGTACACATTAATTTACACACATCAATGATTATAAAAACGAACAAACACAAAAAAAATATTTATATTTATTGCAATAACTAACCCGAATATTCGTCGCTTGCTCGACCACTTCTTCGGGCTCTTCGGTAACGGCAAATACCCTGCTCAATATCTCGTTCAGCACCGCTCGGACCTCGGTGAAACTTTCGTGGCTAATACTGTCCTCTGATACAGAGTTTAGTTTGTCTAGCGCAGCCTTTTTGCTAGCCTCTTCACGTAAATCCTCGAAGGGCCCCCTTAAACCAAATTTATTTCAACGATTCGTCAAATAATTGATGTATGGTGTCGGGACTGTTATTATTTTGATATTTTCTTTACCAAAAAAACAATAAATTCATACGAGTTCTTGCAAAAAGATGATTCTGTTGCACGTTCTAGGAGTACAGGGAATAATTCTTGTAGGACACTCATAGTAATTGCAAAGCAAATATTTAAATCAGAAAATAAATGTGTTGATTGTAGTAGCTACAACTTGATTTAGTAATGTAACAGTACATAAATGTTGAGCTTTATAGACGCTTGAAGATGTAGTAAGGACATGAAAAATTGGAAAGAAAAGGGGAAAAAATTCACGCGATTATATTAAGATTGTACACATCCTGTACTATTTAGGGCACAATGTGTACAAGTATAGCAGGGACAGAAGTTGGAAAGGCTTTTGGTAGGTAGAGAGGGGGTAAACGTCAAACCACGTCGGACGGTTTCGAGAATTTCGCAGTGTCGTTTCATAAAATAAGTAATTTTAAATTGTTACCGGCGCAACCGGACAATCGCATGTATTTACGGACTATAAATAATTACTAAACATGTATTATAATATCCAAATAATAAGTCTACAAAATTTCAACAGCTATTCAGAATTTATTAAACTATTTACTTGAAATTGTTGTTAACATCAATAAAATAATTTTGTACGCCAATGTATCGCGTCCATTTCGGTTAGATCCGCCGCAAACCTATCAATTTATGTGGATAAGGTGGAAAAAATGACAAAAGCCTTTCTAACTTCTACCCTTGCTACATACAACATTTTTACAGCAGTTTGTTTACCCCTCGTATATATCATTATTTTAGGAGCAAACTGGATCTTTCGCGAAAAGCAAACTTGTGAGCATTTTTTAATAAAAAATTGTATTTATATGCGCACCAGTGGAGATACTTTGCGATGTTATGTGTCTCAAGAATATTGAGAGCTTTAAATTTGTGTTAAGACAGCACTCTACAGAAACATTTAAGAAAAGAAGGTGGGAAACTCTCTCATTTGGGTTGGGTATTTATTAAAACAAAAAGCAATTTTTTTTTTATTAATTTAACATAGAATGGGACGTATTTTTTTAAATTCCTTTCAAAAAGTATCAAAATAAATACTTTACGTAGGTTTACAAAAAATTCAAGGTTTCTCCACCCTAATTTTGTTATTACTGGTATTTCCTGAAATTTTAACCAAAAACGGAATAAAAATTAAAGCGCAGACTCATATAATAATAAGAAGAAACTCATTCATAATCTACTGTATTTTATTATTTAAAAAGGAATGAATTAACTATTGCAATATATATTTTTTTTACCTCCTGTCCAATATCCTATTAAGTTCTTCCTTTTTCACTTTGTTCTTGTATTCATCGCACGTGGAATACTCTTGGATTTCTTTGGCTGTTTTTTTGTCGTCGATGATCTTCTGTTGACGTTTTTTAATGACCAATTGAGTCCACATGTCAAGTTTGCTGAGATCACGATTTTCCTTATGTTCCAAAATACTGGCCTACAGAAACATTCAATTTGTACAATTTAATTGTTTGTATAGTATTTATACTGCTGTTCAAAATTATCGCACCACTCAAAAATCTGGACACTTTTAGTGTATATACAATATCACCGTTAAGGTACCATTTGGGTAGGCGCGTCAGGAGACAAGCGACCACTGAGACGACCCCAAGGTCGAGTAGGACGACAGATGCATAAATGTTACGCTTCGTACATTTCGCAAGCTTGAGAAGTGTCGCGCGACACTTACAGGATAACCATTCGAGGGAACGATCAGCGTTGCCAGACCTACTGTTTTCACGTAGATCCACTGTTTTTTTCTCTAGCAAATTTTGTTCTTAATTTATTAAGTTTGCCTCATTCTTCAGCAAATGGTTAAAGAATATTTTCTCTAGTAAAAGCAGCGTAATAAGCATCCACTACTCTAGGTTGGCTCCATAAAAAAAACATCAAGATAATCATTGTTTTTATTTAAAATGAAACAAAGAATTAATAGGGCATCATAAAAAGAACATGCACACTACGATTTTGAATTATCTGATTCAGACTGATCTAAAAGAAGTAGGTACCTATTATTTTTCATTGTTTTTTTTTTGTTTCCGTACGTTAAGCATATATTAAAAATGTTATTATTTGTGTTTATTCTTTGTTTACCTTCTAATTTGGGTCGAAAAAAGTTTATTTTTCGTTTCTTATATACTTTTTTTTATTTACTACACTGCAAATTTTAATTATTTCCCCCTGTATTAAAATCTACTGTTCAGATCTACGGTTTTTTTTTTCACCCATACTGTTCCAAAATCTGGCAACACTGCCTAGATCGAAAGAAATTTTCAACCTATTCACCTCCAAGCGATGCTCGAGGACAGTGACCTCGAGTGCGATAGGCAGCAAACTTTTGCCCCGAGTCAGATTCAGAAGTGTCGTCTGACGACACTTCTCGTGTCGCGCCGTGCGAAATGTGTTTCATATAATTGTATGTATTTTAGATGTGAAGCGAGACTTCTCGGTCGCGTCGGCGGTCGTATGTCGCGTCGGCGGTCGTCTGTCGCGCCTACCGAAATGGTACCTTTAGTGTTCGCATCATAGGCGATTTTTTTTAAATAATTTAGTTTTTGCTGCGGAAATAAAAATTGAATGACACTTCCTTATTTTGTACTGTGATAAAAAATAAAGCAAATTTTGCAATGAAATGTTGAAACTAGTGTTACTGCATTAAGTATATACTTTTTTCAATATACGTTTTTTTGATAATATTCGAATAAAACCATTTTTAAATAAAAATAAGAAAAAAAAACAACAAACTTCAGGAGTAAAATATATTTAATAAATCCCTATCGGTACGCTCATGGTAAGCTATTGATAAATTCACTGGAATTTGGTTTTTGTATTATTTATGTGAAAGGCACTTTCTGACTTTCTTGTCTTGTAAGAAGGAAATAAATAATCGAACTTTGATTAAATAGGTATTAAATAATAAAATACTAAATAGTTAATAAAATTATAATCTAAATATATATTACATCTTAAAATAGTGTTTTTAGAATTAGAAAACAGAAAAAAACTTTGTTATTTAACCTTTTTAGATATTTTGAAAAATCCTAATTCATTGTAGTATATGTCAAATTTGACGGATATATACGATCAACAAAAAAAAAATCACCGTCATTTTTTAAATTATTTTTGAAGCAAAAACTTTTCTTTAACTTTTAAATTTACGTAAATTAAATAATAAAAAAAATCCCATGCATACAATGGGGTGTTTTTAATAGTAAAATGTAAGATATAATAAATAATTTGGCAACATCGATTCTTTAATAAGAAATTCGAAAATTTTATTTTTAAAAGTGGCGTGCTTTGACCACCAAATAATTTTGTTTGATCGCCCTCTAAGAAAATAAATATTTGAAAAAAATCAAAGGCCCCCCACTAGCCTCCTTGAATTTATACATATTTTTTACACTGCAGGTACCATAGGATTGATCACTTTTTAACCATTTTAACTATTATTATTTTTTAACCACCCCTTTAAATAAATTCAAGGGGTAAATTATAGAAGAACAAGAATTCTGAGACGAATTTCGAAGAATATTTCGATTAGAAAAAATGTTCAATAAACAGAAAGGTACAATAAAGATCTAAAAGGGTTTAGAATTATATTTCGACTCTATGAAATACCGATAATAAGACCAAAGAGTTTGAAAATTTGAAAAATACAATTTCCAAATCGAATTTCAACTTGGAAAAAAGGGTCAATCGACGGGAAGACACAATTAAAATCCATAATGGTTTCAAATTGTTTTTCGATGTTTGACCACCCCCTAAAATAATTATTATGAGCCCAAAGAGTGCCAAAGAAAAATTAAAATTATTTTAGGGAGTAGTCAAAGTGTCGAAATATAATTCTAAACCTATTTGCATCTTTATTGTACCCTTTTTTCGATTGACCATTTTTTCCAGGTCGAAATTCGATTTGTAAAATTGAATAATATAAACTTCCAACAGCCGACGCTTGGCCTTGAATTTTTTTTAATATTCATGTTTCCAAGGGTGGTCAAAAAAGGTACTGGGTGGTCCAAACCGTCTCGAACTCAAAACAAACATTTTGCGAAGCAAAATCTAGATCATCATCTAGATCATCTAGAACTACAGTTGATGACAAAACATGTAACATAAAATTTTCTGTGATAGATTGTGATAATTGTATTTAATTGTGATAGATATAGTTGGCTTGCTATGCCGCTTGCCTGAACTTTAATAATACTATCCAACTAGTCGTACCCACCTGAAATTTGCGCCTGGTAAAGTACTTATAATGCACCTCATCCTTTTTCGTTTGAGTCTTCTTCTTGGATGGTTTAGAACCGTATTCGATTTGAGATTCGAAATCTTCGCCGAATTGCGAATTCAACGACAGCGCCGCTATCGGCGTCACGGCGTTCAACGACAACTCGCAACCGTAATTATCCTGCGCTGAGTTCGGAATTTCGGTCTGCGCGCTCGACACTTTCTCGAAATTCGAAATACGACTCTCCGATTCCTCGTTTTTAAACAGTTTCCCATCAATATGATGTAACAGATTCTCCTCGATATTGCACTTGATCCGATTGAAGAAAGCCTTGTCGAACACGTCGTCGAAAGTTAACGAACTAATTTTTAAATTGTCTATGGAATGATCGGTAATCTTTTTGACGCGGTAAAAATTATCAAACTCCGGATAGGGATTGACACAGATGGAAGTTGGTTTGTTAGCCTTATCGTTCAAAGATTCAGGCTTGTTTGAATTGTTATGCTTACGGTTCTCAGGTTTCTGCCGGTTCTTCTTCTTCTGCGCATCGGTTAACTTCGCTAAAGCTTGGAGTCTTTTGGATTCTCTCCTGTTGAACGCTATCCTCGAGCTCTTCACCGTTAATTTCTTGCTACGCAACTCCTTCAACTTAGCATTTTTGCTTCTAACCGTTAACTTCTTGGGGTTTTCCCCATCCAGTTTAGGCTTCACGCGACTGCGCGTCAATTTAACACTATCTTCATCATCTTCTTCCGTTCCAGCTACTTTCACGGCGGTTCTCGGTATTTCCACGGTAGGATGCAGAGCCGCATGGTGGTCGCTAAGCAAAGCGCTCGTCAAAAATCGTTCCTCGCACGATATACATCCGAAATATTTGTCGGAATGTTCGTCGACGAGATGTCGGAAGAGTTCTTTCAAGGTGTTCTCGCTGCTGTCGGTTTTGTCGCAGTAAATACACGGGGTGATGCTGAGCTGTTGCTTCCTGGAACTCAGCCTTCGATTCTTTTTGACGGAATGAACGCGTTCGACGTGTTTTGAACGCAAATTTGCGCTGGCGAAGGAACGTTCGCAGTACAGACAAAGCAGTTTGCGCGTTGGTTTAGGTTCGTCGAATTTTGGATGATGAACAGTTGGCAGAACGCCTTGGACTTTGTCCAAAGGAACGCTGCAACATAAAGTATTATCCTCATCGTCGATATTATCTACTGTAACAGTATTTTCAGTATTTAAGGGAACCTGGCCGTCAGGTGGTGGGGTTTTTTGTGATGAGGCGGTGTAGCGGGCCGAAACGTCGACCGAAGGGTTATTTTGAGTTTGTTGGGTGCATATTTTCGCAGCGTTTCGATCCTCTTGCCCTATCGAAGCGTTCGTATCGAAGACAGTGCTGTTCACCATGCTGCACGTAGGTCTCCGATGGTGCTAGCTGAGAAAATAAATAAAAAATACTTTACAATTATTTATAATAACAATAAAGGGCTTCTACTGGGGTTGACGGCACCACAGCGCGCTCGTACAACATCCGAGAGGCGAGAGAAAATAATTTCAATCAGCCCAACGCAAGCTATACTCCAACAAGATATTGGAGAAGGTGAGTCACCTGCATGATCAACACTGTTGTCTATGAATGAAAATTCAGACAGAGTCAGGCATAGGCGGCGTATCAAATACTAAATAATTATTTATTAGATATTTGTTAGTAAACTTTATTAAATTTGTTTGTCAACATCTTTATTTAAAGAAAGATGATGCGGTAAATATACGTTTTTGATAGTTTTCAAGAAATGAATATATTTATTCCCTAATGACTTCGTTATCTGTGTTTAATGGTTTTAAAATGTGTTTCCAGTAAATAAACGACAGACGGGTTACAGATTGAATATTGTCAGCACAGGCACAAAGACAGTTGAAAACTAACTTTCGACGAAGTTAGATTTGTATCGCTTTAACTATTTACGATAATTATTTTATATTTTATAAACACTTTTTTGTATAAGTGCTCTTTTCTGATATACGAGTAGGTGTTCATGTTTGTGCCTTACAATTTGGTAGTGATAGTGCATATTGGAGGAGTTATATTTATTGTGTAGTATATTAGGTAGGTACTTTAAAAGTTTATTAAATACTAGAATTATATTGTTACAATAGTAATAGATTCAGAGGCGGGTCCAAGTGAAACCCAATTACGTCGGCGAAAGCCCTTATCAAAGGATGAAAAGAACACTATATGGAAAGTGTATGATGGGCTGAAACAGACACTTCCTACAAATGAAGCTGTAAACCGCAATTGAACGTATTATACGCGAAAAGACAAAAAAAGACTCCTTAGAAGCCCCTAAAACGCATACCCGTGGTCGAAAATTGTTGAAATTGGACGATAACCAAAAACAAATCATTCGAAGAACGGTACATTCTTAAGCCCCAACACTTTAAGTTGTTCTTACGAAATTAAGAGAAAACGAAGATATTCCATTGAGCCGTGAAACTTTACGAAAAATTTTATGGGGCCTAAAATTTCGTTTTGTCAAACGGTGTAGGAAATCAATTTTAATTGAGCGACGGCGTTATTTACGAAATATTAAAGAGTTTAGAGCCGCTAAATAAAATATATACTATCTCGATGAAACGTGGGTGAATGCTGGACACACGATATCTAAGATATGGCAAGATGCTTCTGTAACTAGTCATCGCCAAGCTTTTATAGAGGGATTATCTATAGGTTTGAAAGCATCATCAGGTAAAAGACAAAGCCTAATTGTTATCCATATCGGAAGTGACAGTGGGTTTTTGGAAAATAGCGCTCTCGTGTTTATATCGAAAAAAACAGGAGACTACCACGAGGACATGAATGCGGAATGCTTTGAAAAATGGTTTACTGAAGTATTACAGCGTGTAGAACGAAATTCAGTTATTGTACTAGATAACGCTTCTTATCACAGTCGACGAGTTGAACGTATTCCTATAATGTCCAGTAGGAAAGCGGATATGCAAACCTGGTTGCGGGATAAAGCAATAACTTTTACTGAGGAGATGCTTGAAGTGGAATTAATGGACCTAATAAAGGAACACCGACCTAAATATATTCAATATGTTGTCGACATAATGGCTCGTGATCGTGGTATTACGGTACTAAGACTTTCCCCTTATCACTGCGAATTCAATCCTATTGAACTAATTTGGGCGCAAGTGAAAGGGTTTGTAACTCGAGAAAATAAAACTTTTAAAATAGCCAACGTTCAAAATTTATTAAAAACCGGTATAGAACGTATAAAACCTGAAGCTTGGCAGAATGCTAATTCCCATGTAATTAAGGAAGAAAATAATATGTGGCGCTTGGACGGTATGATCGAAACGGTAGTTGAACCTTTAGTCATAACTTTAAGTTCCGAGCATAAAGACGATTCCACTGATAGTTCTGCAGAATCAATGGATTACGAAACTTCATAGATTTAAGTAGAATTTAAGTAAGTGATACAAGCTTAATTTACATATTTTTATAATAAACAAAATACAATTATAAACATAGATGAATTATTATAACAAAAATAGATAACCAACCTATTTTCATCTAGTAATATTCACAAAAACCCAATTAATTTGTCAATATAGTATTTCTGCGACACTGGAAGAGTGCATTTTGATATGATAACGATATATTTTGCAGTTTTAGGGGGCACCTTCTTCAATATTTTGTTCTAGTATAATACCCCATTTAATTTTCCAATAATGTTTCTACGCCACTGGCATATTTACATATTTTTAACAATAAACAAAACAAAATTATAAACATAAATGATTATTACTACAGAAATAGATAACCAACCTACTTTCATATATTATTTACTATTACCACATTTAATTTGCCAATAGTTTTTATACGCCACTGGCGTAATTAATTTCGGCAATAAACATGCATTTATGACTAGTTGGCACGTGATACCGATAAGTTCTGCAGTTTTAAGCGCGTGATTCCATTCATTATGCTCTGGTATAGTATTATGGTTGTACGTGATCAGGGAGGAATAGCCTTCTTCAATATTTTGTCGGAGTATAGTAGGCATTTAGTGTTCCTTAATTGATTAGATTTTAAACATTGTTAAAGAGATATTTATTAAAACATTATAAAACCATGTAAACACGAGTTTTGTGAAGTGGCTATACAGGGTGATATAGTATACAGGGAGATATCATTTAAAAACCATAATTTTGAAGTTAATTCGTTTAACTTCTAACAATACACATGAAAAAAGTTTTATCTTACATTTCACAAATTTAAAATGACACTTGATAAAATGTTCTGCATAACTTGAAAATCCGTAATTAAAAATGAAATCCAATACACACTTTAGCGTTGGTTATAGATTATTATTTATTGAAATAACTTAAAAATAAGTGCAATGATTTAAACTTAAGTATCTATCAACATTTTAATTAATATTTTGCTCTGTATTGAAATTTAAAGGTATTTTATTCTTTTATTTTTATTTTCCCTGTATACTATCTATATTTTAAAAAGTTTAATGTTTGATTATGGATTCCCAAGTGATGCAGAACATTTTATAAAGAAGAATTGTTTTTTATAAAAAGAAACAAAACTTTTTCTCACGTGTATACATTTTTTTGGGACACACTGTATAATAGATTGCGACGTGCTCTTCGAGTACGTCGTTAACAACAATAACTGAATACACTTTCATGTTGATGACGTGCTTAAAGACCACGCCGCAACCCATTACACAATGTTTTCGAAAAAGTTATGATTTTTCAAAATTCGCGCGCTCAAAAATTTGGGGCTCATAAATTTTTATTTTGTTTTGAGAATTTTGATTTTATCATGTCATTTTGTTTTCTAAATTTTTGACAATTCGTGTTTGTGTAAGTTTGTTATAATAAAAAAAGGTACTTTTATTTATTAATCTCAATAAAATGCATATAATTGAAATACTGGGATGTCCATTAAATCTTCGACTATTAAGTAAAAGCTAGTGTCTCTTTTCCAACATGTTCGAATGTTCTTTATTGTTCCACCATGTATAACGTTTTTGTTCAATATAATACAATATCATAACCTAAAGAATACAATACTTATGCCCCTTAAAGAAATTAGAGGAACGTCCGGCGTGCAGACTTACAAGTACGGTCGAAATTCGAAATAGACGTGCATCGCACTGTTCAGTCGTATTAGTAGAAACGACAAATCCGTCGCTGTCCAGAAAGCCCAGATCCGAGCAACGAATTTGAGGGTCAATGGCCTACATTTAACATTCAATTCAACTGTTATTTTTCGGTAACTTGTCCGGAACAAGCTCCGATGAAAAATGCACCCATGCATTTGTCGAGGTCGCAGGTATAAAGAAAAAAAAAAAGGATCTCCCCTCCAGACTCCAATTCTAATGGTTATTGTTACCGCAAAGGGACAATCGATTTTTAAATAGGTAGCAACAAATAATTCTAGAGAATCTTTTTTTTCGTGCATAGAAATTCAATGAAAGTACTTTCGTTTCAAAACCAGCCAGTTAAAACAACTTTTCATTTTAGGAAAATTCAAGAAAAATAAATTTATATAAAGGGGTAAAAATTTTATTCATTTATTTCCAAGATTCATTCCTTCAGAGCTCTCTTAACATTTATTAAAAGAGTAAGTACTATCTTGTCAAATTAAAGTCGTAAGAAATTTTATAGAATGGCCAACAAAATATCCAGATCAAACACCACTTGACTTTTTATGTGGGGCTAATTAAAAACGTTGGTTTATAAAACCCATCCCGAAGATATTCAAGAACTAAGACGAATTTGAAAATAGTTTATATTATATTATTGTTTACAGAATAACGGAGCCAACTTTCAACAGTTGGAAATAAATTTTCGGACTTTTTAAGAAATTCCGTAACGAAAATAAACCTAACACCTACCCACTCCTGCCGGCACAGCGGTGCGGCGTTGAAAGCCGTGCATCGTCTAACGTCGTTTCAGTTCGGCAGACTTTGGCACGGTGTTTGTGTGCGTGCGACTAGACGTATGCGTGTAGACTAGCTGCTAACTGATTCTATCTCTTTTAGACACAATTTCGGAAAAATTGAATTTGTAAATGAATAATGATCCACAAGAATCCACAAAAAAAATATGGGACCACCATTGACGCGGTATTTTCCAGATATTTAGAGGATATCAAGTCTCAAACTTATGTTTCTTATTTCAGTTACCATAAACCTATAGTTTCAATGATAAAAATATTTTAAACAATATTAACTTCTCATTTATTTAATAAAAGAAAAAAAATTGTTTTCTTATCGGTCACCTCGCTCAAAAAGTGTAACTTGAATTAATATCAAAGAAAAAAATAATGCTGCATAAATAAAATAAATAAATAATTATAATTGCATAAGTTGATAAAAAATGCTATGCAATATCTTTACCGCGGCAGTC